TGGGTGTAAAGCCTCGTTGCCCTCATTAATGGTGTTTTCTTCACCCAATTCTCATTTTACTACTTTTAGGTGATTCTATAATCCCAAATAGATATAACTAACACCATTTCTTATCACGCAAATGATTATGACAATCTTAAGTAAACAACCCAAAACCCTAGCATAGCTCATATGATTCTCTTTGTCAAACCCATCTACTATTCTCTCAAAAACTCATCAATTCATAGTTATAAATGATTAGGTAGTAGAAGAATTACCTTTTTGAAGTTCAATTCTCTTGAATTCGAGTTCTAGGGTTTCTTTTATCAACAGTGATGTCTAGATTAAATATCTAATGATTTGAAGAATTTACCCATGTTAATAAGGTGTTGGAGAATAGAAATTAACTTAGAATGATCGTTAGAACATACCTTGGATGATGGTGGCACCTTGGGGGAGTTAGGTTCTTGGGAGCTTCCCCTAGAGTAAGTTTTCGTGTTTTTGGGGTGTGGTGGATTATGTAGGGCTTTTAAATAAGTTTACATGTCCCAAAACTTGAGAAGGAAATAAAAGTACCTCGAATGAACATCGTAAGCGCGGGACATCATCAGAGGCGCCAAAATAACAGTGCAAGGCGTCATTAGAGGCGCCAAAACTACACGACCTTGAACTGTCAGGGGCGCTAAGGTTAATACCCTGGACAATGCCTTGCACTGTCTAAGGCTGTGAGTTTTCATGTCCTTGCACTGTCTAAGGCTATTAGACGAATCTCCCCTAAAATTAGTCGATTCTATTTAATTTTATGCACCTCACACTCGGTCTTGATTCCAAAATAACTGTTTCCACCCATACTCATCCCGATAGGACTTCATATGTCTAAAAGGTCACATTAATACCCATTTAACTCATCCACAACTAATTAGAATTTATGGAGAGTTACATTATCTGCTCCTTGGGATCATTCATCCTCGAATGATTGTCCTTATTGTAACTACGACTAACGCTGGAGCTTAAAAAGGACTGATGGAAACATGTGAAAGCTTAACCGTCATGAACATATGCATACTAAAATGAATGAATATATGATTACTGAAATGCTGAGATACTAAACTGACTAGGTACTGAACTGAATGGCTACTGAACTGACTGAATAATGAGTTGACTGAATATTGAAAGATATTGAGATTATAATTTAAGTTCTGAATGAGAATTTTAGTTACCTTCTACATTTTCCACTTGCTCTTCAAAGAGATGGAGATATTTTGACTTCATATCCTCTTTGGCTTCCCACGTAGCCTCTTCAACCTTTTGATTCCTTCAAAGCACTTTCACTGAAGCAATTTCTTTAGTTCTGAGCTTGCGGATTTGACGATCAAGAATAGTCACTGGAATTTCTTCGTAAGTCAGACTATCTTTTACCCCTATAATCTCTATAGGAAACATAAGAGACGGGTCTCCTATGAATTGTTTTAACATTGACACATGAAACACTGGTGTAGAACAATTAATTCTTGTGGTAATTCTAACTCATAAGCCACCTGCCCAATCCTTCAAAGGATTGTATATGGCCCAATATAGCGGGGACTATGCTTCCCCTTCTTCCCAAATCTCATAATGCCTTTCATAGGCGAGACTTTCAGAAACACCCAATCATCAACTTGAAACTCTAAGTCTCTATGCCGTACGTTCGAATAGGACTTTTGGTGACTCTGAGTTGTCTTCAAATGCTCTTGAATCAACTTGACTTTCTCCATAGCCTGATAGACCAAATCGAGTCCCAACAACTCCGCTTTGCCAACTTTGAAACAACCAATTGGTGATCTACACCTTCGCCCATATAGAGCTTCATACGGTGCCATCTTGATACTAGAGTGGTAGCTATTATTATAAGAAAACTCAATGAGAGGTATGTGATCATCCCAATTATCTTTAAATTCATGGACATATCCTCAAGTGTCTGAATAGTGCATTCTTCCTAGCCATCTGTCTGAGGATGAAAAACTACGATGAGGTTTACTCTTGTGCTTAATCCTTTTTGAAAGGGCTTCTAAAAATTTGTTGTAAAGTGAGCACCACGATATGAAATTATGGACAACGGAGTCCCGTGCAATCAAACGATCTCCTAAATGCACAACTTCACATAATCTTATGCTGAATCATTGGTCTCTACTGGCAAGAAGTACGCTGACTAGGTAAGTCGATCTACAATAAGCCAATCAAATCATGCTTTCAAAAAGAGCGAGATAATCCTATTATAAAGACCATAATTACCATATCCACTAAATAATATGTGTATTCTGTTGTAAAATACTGGCTTTTTGCGGCTCAACTTTTACTTCCTGACAATTTAGACATTTGGCCACAAAGTCTGCGACATTCGTTTTCATGTCGTTTCACTAATAAATCTCCTTGAGATCATGATACCTCTTTGGGGAACCTGGGTGGGTAGAATACCTAGAATTATGGGCTTCTAACATGATCCTCCCTCTCTAAGTCCATATATGTATGGAACACACAATCCGTCTTGGTACCTGAAAGTACCATTATCTCCCCCTTTTTCAAAAGTCATCATCTTATGCTTGTGAATCCCCTCCTTCAGCTGCAACAAGTAGGGATAATCAAATTATTTCTCCTTCACTTCGGCTACTAAGGATGAGCATGTCTTGTTCTGGATAACAACCCCAACATCTTCGGTGATCTTGGCTAGCGGTGAACTTCTTTCACCATAGTGCTCTTGTTTGCCTCAATCATGAGATTTACTTCCCATACATGATTATCTTTTTAAGAGACTTATTGAAAACACTTATAGTATAGTTGCGATCTAAATCTTTCACCAGTACTCCGAATATTAGAGTCTCGTGCAATGGCACTACCCTCGTGACACATAATTTGGTATGATTTTATAGTTTTTCTGTGATCGTTTTATCAACAATAACTAAGCTCGATGATCATTCTACTCACTTCGTATTTCTTACACATGCTAGAACACATTCCTTATGGTAATTATATTATTTTTCCATCATTACTGAACTTAATTGTTTATTTTTGTATCCCATATTAACTATTTGAGTTTCAAATCTCCAACTGGACTTACTGATGATTTTTACATCTCCCCCATAGACCAAAGGTTAAGGTATTGTACTTGCGGATCCTTCTCTTTTGTTGAGATCTGAACAACTTTCCTTAACTTCGAAAATTCTTTGCACTTTAAGTCAATGGCAACTCATTTTTTGACTTATTTTTGAGCAATCTTTGTTACTAGGAAAAACTAAACTAATTACATAAACGGAAAGCTAATGTATTCATAACTACCATACATAATCTTAATGATTTAACTCTGCTCACACTATCAATCTTGGAGAAATCCCTTTTCGATAAATCTTAAAGGCTATTCCTCTGTAGTTTGCTCTCTCACTACCTAGCTGATTTTTTCCCACTATCACTGTACTTTGGATTTAACTTAAACTCTTTGGGTTCTAACACACATTCGGTGTTTCAAACTGTTACCCACTCACTGGTGTTAATCTGGCTAAGTATTTCAAATCGTACCTCTACTAGATCTACAAAATTACTAATTCACTGTATCTACTCGAAACTTACTTACATTCTTTTACTAACCACCTGCTAGCATCATGTTTTCTTGTTCTTCTTTGAATAACTAAAGTGAAGCATAAGGTTATTCCTAATTTTCCTCACCATCCGACCCTATTATATAATCGCATACTATCATTTTTTTGAACTATGTACATGGATCACACTTAGAGAAATTTCTTCTGTCTTAAACGAAATTGGAATATCTAACCCCAAACTTTCTATACACTTCAAAATAATATCAAACTATAAACATCTAGGTTAAACACTTAGTCACATAACCTAAGGGGGAACTATTATCTCATAATAATAACTACTTCTTATAGTAACTTACTAACGTGGTACTTTCTAGTTTTAATATGTTTAGAGAGATGTTGGAGCTTCTCTCGCTTCTTTTCTTTGTCAATGGTGTATGGTATTGAATTCCCATTTCGCACCCTAGGAAGTGCCTTGGTTCCTTGTGGAGATGGGGAAAGCTCGTCGTATGGTTCCTACTAGGTAATCTAATAATTCAATAGCTAGTTCTTTCCCATTTTAAATCAGGGCTCCAAAACTGACCTCTGGTGTTAATTAATAGGGCCAACAGATCTACTTCTTCAATAGTTTTCTAGTAATTCAACTAGTATAATCGTGGTTTTGTTTTTAAGTATTCATTGTTATCTTATATAGATATAATCGCATGTTAATTTATTCACATTGTTAGCAATAGCTCGATGTGGATAAATTAACTATTAATTAAGTTCATAGTATCTATGATTTTAATCTTATTTTCAGTATCTTTACAATGGAATAGAATGAAGATATTTATTCCATTTATTATTTAGTCTGGTTAATCATTCATTGACGTGAAAATTAATGTATAAGTGATGAATGCTAAAGTTGTAAAATATTAAATTCTAATAAGATCTACATGCAATTATGTGGATCTTATATTTATACCTAAGTTTCCGAACGGTACCCTTGCGTCGCAATACTATTGCGAGAAGTAACAAATAGCAACTTAATAGAGCTGGTAAAGCTTAAGGAGTCAAGTAACTCTTGAACTTAATTAAGTTGTTGAAATGAAAATTTGTGTCAACTTTTGGGGACTCTTTATGTATTTTACCAATAATCTAGGACTAACATTGAAAAACAATTAAGCTTAGTAGTTCTATTTAATAACGAAATTGTCATAGGACTTATTTATCGTGACATCTATATATAAGAAATCACAAGTAGTATGATTCCAAAGGTTGTTAAGGTTTTTACATATATTAAGAAAATAAGATGGTTGCATTTGCTACTTGCTGGTAATTAGGAGATATATTAACCGCCTTAACCCACGTGATTAGTTAAGAATGGGAGTAAGAGGACCCCCGCCTCTTGAGGAATGTTCTTTTCAATATAGGACGTAGCTCTGCATTCATTGTTCTCTTTCTGCGAATGTGTATGTCAATTGGGAAAGAATTTGATTGATCTACCAATTGAACTAAATCCAACAGAGATTAGAAGATTTTATCTGCAAAAGGATAAGAAGAAAGAAATGGATTTCTTAAAGAAGAACGACACGAAAGTGGAATGCCAGAATCAGATTACCATTAGAATTGCATCTATGTCTGTTTACCTCTTAGGTTTCTTCTTAGCCATGTTCTTGTGCAACTGTGTCCACCTTCTGCTTCGCCCTCTTTCCCAACCTCGTATAATTGCAGAATCCATTGTAAGACTCTCTCTGCCCCCTAACCTTTTGATCTTCTATGTCATGTAACTGTTACATTAAAATTTCATGTGCCGATTCTTGAATGCCCGTTATGGTAGAATATAATGTGAGACTTCTTAGATTTTACACATGTGATACATGTTTCTTCGATTTCTCCATGTAAGCCTTTCATATCGCAATACCTATTGTGTCGTTTTGACCTTTCATAAAGGGTGACAGAATAAAAGCAGGCGAATGCGACAATGTTAACTTATGATACATTTCATGATAGTTTGTTACAACCCATAAATGAAAAGTATGACAGTGAGTAGTTTTAATAGATCAGAGTTGATTTTCGCTTCCCTTTGAGGGACATTATCACAAAACCTTGCACGCATTGGGTGTTACTCGGCCCTAGTAGTGGGACTATAATGGTGGATGGTATCAGACCCTAGTCCCATACACACAGTAGTGCGTGACATGGACGATCGAGTCTGGGATAAAAGGGAGGGGATATGTTTTCTTCATCCCGGAGTTCATTCATTATGAACTGAAATTAGTTAGGTTTAAATACGTGATATAATTCATGATCGGTCAATTCCTTTTTTCTTTCAGCAAGTAAGCATCGTGAATCTATGCTTTCTATCTCTTAATCAGATACCAATTGCTTGAGTGCGTTTGAAACCCTTGATCAAATCCCCTGGCCTTAGCTGTGATGCGACTTGCTGAGTCAGTGGCCGCCATGAAACAATAGCACTTGATATACTCCCTTTTTAGGAAGAGTTAAGATTTGTTCATTCTCAAACTGCTTAATTATTCCATCCTAATAAAATTTTGCATATCTTTTTAAAGAATTTTCTAATGATATACGTGACTCCGATTTTTTTCCCAATTGTGATTGATCCCAAAATAATGACATCTAATATTCTTTTTATGCAGGTAGGGTTGCTACTTAGCAATCTTGAATTCGTGCGGAACAGGTTCTTAAACGACAACGAAGTACAACAAACTTTGAACTATATTGTGGACGCAATTATGGTGTGTCACATGTTTGTTGTGGGGTTAGAAATCGATCCCAATATATTCCTCCAATTGACACTCCCAGAGGCAAAAGTTGCATATTCTGGAGTGCTTACTACATTTGTCTTTGCTTGCCTCGTGACTCCACTTCTGCACATTTCTAAACAACCAAATGCTGTATTCAGTTCATGTTTAGCAATCGTTCTTGCTGGAACAGATTCTCCCTTATTAACTCGATTAATCACTGACCTCAAAATTGGAAAATCAGACATAGGTCGATTTATTGTTGAAGCCGGAATACATTCTGATGTTGTCTCGATATTATTAATCACCATTGGATTTCTCATTTTCGATCCGGATAATAACTTTCAGAATCGAAGTGTGAAAGAGATACTAAAGATGATGGCTATTTTGGTGTTTCAAACGCTGTTAGCATCAAAGGTAGTTCCTTCAGTTATGAAATGGGTGAATAATGAAAATCCTGAAGGAAAACCAATGAAAGGTTCACATTTAGTTGTGGCACTTGCTTTTATCATCTCAATTTGTAGCATGTCCCCTATTGTTGGTTTCAGCAAGGTATTGAGTGCATTCTTAGTTGGGCTTTTTATGCCAAGAGAAGGGAGAATATCAAAAATGATGATTGGCAAAGTTAACTATATTTTTAGGACCATATTCTATCCATTATTTTTCTTTTGGGTTGGCACAGAAGCTAAACTTTCAGAATTTGAGGCTGGCAATATTGCTACATGGGCAAAAATAATCGTTCCTTTCCTAATTGCTACAGGTGGTAAAGTACTTGGTTCTGTTGTTTCTGGGTTGATGCTAGGATTTCATTGGCCAGAATCAGTTGCCACTGGGTTGCTACTCAATATCAAGGGCCATTTTCAAGTCTACTTAGCTATTAATGCCTACCGCGTAAGTCCTTAACATATTTTTCTTCATTATTATTATTATTTTATTCAAACATTATTATTTTTCTTAGTGAATTAATTCCACATATTGTCATTGAATTTTATCAACTATAACAGTAAAGTTGTAAATTATTTTTTCATATTAAGTAAGCTTTAAACTATTTTTTGTCACATTAAAATAACTAAACTTTATTCACTATAACAGTAAAGTCACCTTGATTGGTGGGTTTTGACGTTATATTGGAAAGTTTTGGTGTGACTTCACTGCATAGTGGGTAAAGTACATTTACCTTAATTGGATAAAAAATAAAATATTGTGTCAAGTTCAGTTACTTTAATTTGACGCAAAATAAAGCTTTTGAATTTATTGCTCTACTAGACAAAATTCGGTAATCATGCATGAAATTAACTCAATACATATGTTATCACCAAGATTATACTGATCTTTTTTGGTTCATATTTGCGTAATATTGCCTTTGAATGCAGATGAATATCATAAGTATGTCAACAAGTATTGTTTTGGTGTTCGTAACTTTCCTTACCATAATATACACCCCAGTGGTGGTCGCAAAAATTATTGAACGTGCAAGGAAACGCTCACCAACACAAAAAATGGCACTTCAATGGCTTAATCCGACAAATGAGCTTCGAATACTACTCTGCATTCGTAGTCCTCAGAATGTTTTCTCGGCAATTAACTTCATGGAAATCTCTCGAGGGCCAGCAAATCCTGGAATCATGGTTTACTTAACTGATACGATTGAGTTAACTGATAAAATAGCAGCAACATTAACACAAGGACGTGGAGTTGGAGCTGGAGTTGGAGTTGATGCTGTGACAGTAACTGATCCTGCAGTGGTTGAAATGAGAGAAAAAATTAGCAAAGATGTTCATGCTTATTTAAGTGAGGATTGTGAAGGAATTAACTTACAAAGAATGATGGCACTTTCAACGATCAATAATATGCACCAAGATATAAGCATTCTTGCGTAGGACTTGTTGGTACATCTTGTTATACTTCCTTTTCATAAGAATCAAGAGGAAGATGGAAGACTCCATGTGGGTCATTCTGGCTTCCGCCATATCAATCGCAAGGTATGCCACACATATCAACTGCTTATTAATTTCTTTCTTTCTTAAAGTCATGACATCTTGCACAAACATTTTGAATATTAATTAGGTATAAACATAGTAAACAAATGGAACACCTTTCTAAGATGAATCATCACATCGTAGAATAGTTAACTAATGAAAGACATAGTGTTGTGTGTCTGCTGAAATGGTTTTGTGATGATTAATTTGGAATGCATATTATACATCATTCACATGCATACATACATATAAGCATAAGAAAAAGAATTGCCTTTTGATAAGTAAGCAGCTTCCTCCATGCACTTTGTCAACACATTTTAAAACTTTTTAAGTATGTAGTCGAGAATTTTGTTTCTTGCGATGATTGTAAGTAATACAGCTAATAAACATGAAACCTTGTAGCTAATTCCATACCACAGCTAAAAGGGCAGTTTCGCCCGAGAAAAATAACAAACAAACTTAATAAGCATCTAGAAGATATCCTTTATCTCTATTCTAGTGGAACTAAATGAAAGACGTCTATCTACATTAATTAGCTGTGTGCAAAACACATTTAAAGCAAAGACATGTAATACTAAATAATCTTGGGTCTTAACATTTATATGTACGGGTTGTTAGATATTGCAAATTAATCAGTTTTTTGACATATGACATTTTCATGTAGGTTCTTCGGAATGCACCTTGTTCAGTGGGGATCTTAGTAGACAGGGGTCTCGAAAAAACCGTGATATCAAGATCATCTATTTCCCTAAATGCAGCAGTGATCTTTATTGGTGGCAAAGATGACAGGGAAGCACTTGTGTATGCAGGACGTGTGGCGCGACACCCTGGAGTAAAACTGACAGTAATCAGGTTTCTAGTAGAGGTTGCTGGAGATAGTGTCTCATCAAGAGTTGGTAGAGCAAAATCCAATACCACTGAACATTTGGAAGAAATGAAGATTGATGACGAGTGCTTTGCGGAATTTTACGATAAACATGTTGCTGGAGGACGTGTTGCCTATGTGGAGAAATACCTTGTCAACTCTGGACAAACATTTTCCACATTAAGGTCATTAGAAGGGCAATATGGGTTGTTTATTGTGGGACGTGGTGGGAGGGTAAATTCTGTGTTAACAGTAGGGATGAGTGATTGGGAGGAGTGTCCAGAGTTAGGTCCTATTGGAGATATTCTTTCTGCTTCAGATTTCTCAGTAACTGCCTCAGTTTTGATCATTCAACAACATAGCCTTAAAGGAGAATTAGATGGACTGCATGATGAATTCTCAATCATGTAACATGTACATATTTAAGTTATAACATAGTAGTCGATCGCCATAAGGATTTCTTCCCACCAAATTCCTCCAAATTTAAGAGCTCGCTAGCTCGTCCTTGAGCAAAAGAATGACAGATCAACAAGATAAAACTAAGCATGTGTTACGATTAACTTAATCGAATCGCCGTGCATGGCTTAGTGATGGTACATGACTCACAGCTCAAGAGAGTTTCAAAACATAGGTAGACTTTAACAACTTTCAAGTTAAATGATGGCACAGTAATTACCTCGTCGTTTATTATTCAATATTGTAATCAAATAACGTAAGTTTCACATTAATTTATTTGCACAGCTTATCAGATTATGCAAACTTTTGACAACTTACCAAGTCATATCTGAATTTCATAATCTTGCTTTTCATACCACCCTAAACTAATGTAGATCATCATTATACCAAGGCCACTTAATAAAGGGGGACGATGGGGGGTTTAACGCAATGTTTAGAAATTTAAAAGGAATGTCAAAAACAAATAGTTCGCGCAAAAAAATATGCAATTTGAGGGAGTCAAAAGAGAAAACAATTCAGATGTTCAGTGGATGGTGTCTTCTTTTTTTCTTATTCTTCCTCTCTTTTCTTCACATTACAGTAGTAATGATACGATTTCAGTGTTGTATCAGAAAGTAGCTTATAGAAATTCAAAATCTTTTATAAATAACAATTATTCCAGCATACTGATGTTGGGATATATACTACATTAACCATCGATTTTGGTTTGGATATAGTATCTATTATGGAACAATTATTTATTCAATTTTAATAAAGTTTTAAATAGAACATCTATTCGTTTGTATCCTTTACTTATACAATAGATGATTTAGTATATAGAGTTTAGCTTATACACGGTGTAATGACCAGACCGGTCGTTTTGATCTCTAGCGAGTCGTTAAGCGGTTTGAGTCCTTGAGTAGCTTCTCTTCAGGTATTATGACTTGTACGTGCGGACGTAATTGAATTTCGGGAATTTCAGAGTTGACTTGAAAACAAAATTCTAATTTCGGAAGCTTTAAGTTGGAAAAATTGACTAAGGTTTGGCTTTTGAGTAAACGACCTCAGAATCGGGATTTTAAGATTCCAATAGGTTTGTATGATGATTTCGGACTTGGGCGTATGTTTGGGTTGAGTATCAGATCACCCGGGAGCATTTCTACGCTTATTATGGAAGGTTGGCATTTTAAAGGTTTAAGAGTTTCATAAGTTTGGTTTGAAGTGGATTTTGATGTTATCGATGTCTGTTTGGGGTTCCGAACTTTGGAATAGTATCGTTATGTTATTTATGACTTGTGTGCGAAATTTGAAGTCATTCTGGATTGATTTGATACGTTTCGGCAAAAGATATAGAATTTGGAAATTTAAAAATTTATAAGTTTGATTCGAGGCGCGATTCATGATTTTGATGTTGCTTGATGTGGTTTAAGGCTCTGACTAAGTTCGTATTGTATTTTGGGATGTGTTAGTATGTTTGGATGGGGTCCCGGGGGCCTCGGGTGCGAATCGGATTGAAAACGGATCGAGTTTGGGCTTGGGGGAAATGCTGAAGCAGTTGGTATTTTGTGCAATTGCACCTGCGTGGAAAAGGCCTCAGGTGCGAGCCCGCAGAAGCGGCGTCATGGTCGCAGAAGCGGCATTTGGACTGAGCAGGGATGGCCGCACATGCAAGGTTATGTCCTCATCTGCGAGCCTGCAGATGCGGCGAATGCTCCGCAGAAACGGAAGGGGCCAGCTGGGCGAAGGGCCGCAAAAGCAGAGCTGGGAGCGCAGATGCGCATTCGCAGAAGCGGAGAAGGCACCGCATAAGTGGGGTTGGGCCATTGGTGCGGGACCGCAGGAGCGGTCACGCCTCCGCAGAAGCGAGACCGCAGGAGCGGACTTTGTCCGCAGAAGCGGACTTGGATGGGTTAGTGGAAACCGCACATGCGATGGGAATTTCCGCAGGTGCGGAGCCGCAGAAGCGGCTACTGTCCTGTAGATGCGAAATGTTTCTAGGCAGAGTTGATTTAAGAACGGGATTTGGCCCTTCTTCTTTCATTTTTCACTTGGGTTGGCCGAATTTGATGAGAATTTCAGCAAGCAACACAAGGTAAGTGATTTACACCTATTACAAGTTAAATAAATAATTTATATGTGGATTATAACATGAGAATTAGTAGAAATTTGAGATTTTGATAGAAAACCTAGAATTGGGTATTTTTGAATTTTGACCACGAAATTGGACATGAAATTGAGAATAAATTATATATTTGAGTTCGTGGTGTTATAAGTAAGGTTTATCTTCAAATATTTTTGGAATCCGGGCACGTGGGCCCTAGGGTTGACTTTATCGACTTTTCGAGTAGAGTTGAGAATTATTTAAATTGATTGATTATGAGTATTAGAATATATTTTGATTGGTTTGAATATTGTTTGAATAGTTTTGGATCGGCGGGCGTTGGCTTGAGGTGTTAGAGAGGCTTTGGAGTTGGTTATGGAACTTCGGAGCGAGGTAAGTCTCCTGTCTAACTCTGTGAGAGGAAAACTACCCCTAGGTGATGTGTTTGTTATGTGCTACTTGTTGCGGGGGCTACGTATATACGAGGTGACGAGAGTCCATACGTAACTAGATTTATGTTATGTCCGGGTAGACTTAGGTTCCCGCTATGCTATAACTGTACTATTTGAGTTGTCTCTTGCCTATTAAATTCCTTTATTTTACATTACGACTTGAGACTAGACTTGCGTAGAGTGATAGATTTGCTATTATAGAGATTTGACGGGCTTCGTGATAAGCCGCAGATTAATTGTACTCTCCTTAATAAATTCTCTCGCGTTATGCGTTCTCATCGAAAAGCTTCCTTAAAATCTATAACTCACACGACTATTCGTGAGTGGGGTCGAGGACCCGTCAAAATTTATTATTCTAATGGGATCAGGCCGTTTGCCTCGGCAAGGTAGATACATCTATGGTTCGTGCCATTCAACCCTAGGCAGTGCGCACACTATAATGGATCGGATCGTACGCCTCGGCAGGATTATGTACCACACTCTCATGGGAGCGGGCCGTTCGCCTCGGCAATACAATAGATGTATCTATGGTTCGAAAATATTATGATGGATCGGGTCATACGCCTCGGCATTTCTATAAAATACTCTTATGAAGTCGTGCGTAATAATTGATAAGAAGGCAGTATATTTGTGAGTTTTCCTGATTTGAATTGTGGCGACCTATCTGGTGAGGCCCATTATATATACTCTGATTGAGGAGGTAACTACTAGCTGAGAGTTTGAGTTATTGCTGAGAGGAGAATTTTACCACATATTTATACTTGTTATTTCGTTTAATCCCTGACTCACATTTGTTTACTTCTACTGTTTTTGTCTTATTGGACCACTAGTAAGTGTTGATATCGACCCCTCATCACTACTTCTATGGGGTTAGGCTAGATATTTAGTGGGTACATGTTGATTTACGTACTCATGCTACACTTGCTGCACTTATTGTGCAGATACATATATGTCTGGTGGTCTTTTGGGCGCAGATGCGCGACTATTGCAGAGACTTTACCGTGAGCTGCATTTCATGTTACGATCAGCAGCCTGCAGAGTCTCCATCAGAGTTATTTATATTTCTCATGTCTAATTTGTATTCCGGACAAATGTTGTATTTTATTATATTTCCTAGTTGATGCTCATGCAGTTCTGACACTGGATTTTGGGGGTTCCTACGGGTTGTTCATTATTGTAGCTCGTATAAATATTTTCATTCAATCTGTAAATTCTATTTCACACTATCTAATTAATAAAAATTATGATTTTTAAAGTATTAGAATGAGTAATTAAATTGATCAATCACTGTTGGCTTGCCTAACGGCGATGTTAGGCGCCATCACGACCTATACTGGATTTTTGGGTTGTGCCACAAGGAAGATTAAATCATCGGTTCTTACAAGTATAAAGATCATGTTCACAATCTAATGATGGAATTGGACAAACCATCAGGAATGATTGTAGCACAAGATTAAATATAATTTATCTTGATTATGGAAATGGTTTAATTCCGACTTCTTGTGCTAGTATATTTTGTATGTATTGAACGGACCAAGTAGAGATAAGTATTTTATACTGACTTAATAAAATAACCTCTCTGGCCGCTAAACGTACTTATACTCTTAATCTTGATATAATTATTATTAATTGTGTATATTATTTATTATTTTGATTTATTAAAAGATGAGATCTTTTGTGGGTCAATTTGCCTGTTAAATTGGACAATGATGATATACATTGGCGAAGTAATATTTAGTTGAAAGAATCCATGTCTTGGTCTAGAGATTGATGATACACCTTTATGAAAGTTTATAAGTTTTCATGTGTAAACCCTGTAGGTGAATTTTGTATCCGTCATATAAAATAAGTTAAACGAAAGTCTAAAGGAAATAATCAGTGAATTAAATTGTCAGTAGTTTAATTAATTTGATTACTATGTGAATCTTAACATGGGGAGTTAAATAAGGTTTAATGAAAGAATTTCGAAATTGAACTGAGGAGTGCAATTACGAATTTTTAATGGAATAATTTATAATTTATTATGGTAGTATTAATTCGGATATTTCGAATTAAGTCCATAATAGGTTGCCTCGTTAATTAAATACTGCGGTTTTTGCTGTGCCCGAATAATAAGAAATTAAATGGATTATATTTCTTGGTGGAAAAGGAAGACCCAACAGGTTTAGGAAAAGGTTACCCTAAAACCTGTGACTATATAAAGGGGTCTTATTTCATATAGAGGCTATGGTTTTACTACACGGTTTTCCTAGGAGAAATTTGCCCCCACAAATTTTACTAATTCCGGACATTATTCGGGTCACACAGCAGAAGACCGTGAAACTGGAGGACGGTCTCGTGGACGATTTTGCTCTTACTTGAAGGCTCTTTTCGCGATCGCGATCACGCTTTAAGAGATAAGTATCGATTTTATATTTGATTAA